GGCACGGAACAACCAGCTGCACAAAAAATAAGCCAGTAAAACGGATGTACATTCTAAACTCAGGTCCTGGCACAAAGCTAAGTCCAAATGGGCGAAGAATGTATAGACAGAAGAAGAAGAATGTAACCCTGGAGGGGGACAACTTTTTCCACACACAAAAAAAAAATGTAAAGTCGTGAGAAGAAGCGGGGATAGCGATGACAAGCTAGGGTGTCTTTCAAATGAAAACTAAAATATGGTTTCAACAAGTCAGTTGAATATCCTAAACAGAACGTCACACACCAAAACAAAATCTGCTGACCGTTTGTGGTTTTACTAGGTAATCTCACGTTCAGTGTGCCTCGGATGAACCGTACAACGTTTATGATGATGTCAAGATTAACGCAAAGCGGTCTGCTGTCAAAGATCCAGGTGGTAGCTTCGAGCCCTGGTATGTTGGAGTTTCCTCTGAAACTGCGGTCATACCCCGCTCCCAAACACAGACTCCGTCAAGACATGGTGGTAAACTATTTTCTGCACAAATAAACTGCCCTCTTCCACGCCCGTCGGGTGTATTAGGCATACAGGGCAGGACCTATATTTTACAGACCAATCTGCACTCAGTGGGTGATGTAGTCAACATTACACGGGCCACCTTTACTTTCCAGGACTTTACCTGGCACCCAATTAGGACTGATATCGAAAGGTTACTTTTAAAGGACAAAAAAGACCTTAAGATCCGTCTAGCCACTGCACCATGGCGGCTCCCTTTCTGCGCACAAAAAATGCAACATAATTACCTACCTGGGTGTAGAAGCTAGGGCATCGCCTGCGCAATAAGAACATTGTGGGTTAAAAACCGAATCGGGTGTTTTGTGTTTTCAAACAGGATCTTGGCACCCAGCCTAAAATGGGTAACAGGAAATGTCCTATGGAGCAAAGAGGGCCGGTTTGATGCTGACAACACAACCCACCGAGAGCCGGTTGTTCTATTTTAAAAAAAAATGAGTCTAGCATCATATGAGCGTCGTCCTTGGCTTAGACGTTGCGAGTCCGACTCGTAATTCTAACGTACCGCGATCGAAACCCACTGCTGGCTGCATTGTTTTTTATCATGGTATGAGGCAGGTCGACCCAGCCTAAAATGGGTACCAGGTTGGCTGTCCTAGGGAAGTAAAGAGGGCCGGCGTAATGCTCACCACATTACCCACCCAGTGCCAATTGGTCTGTAAAAATATTGGCGCTCTTCCTATATAGCCGATACGCCTAAAGACGTGAAAAGGGATCTTTACTTTTACTTTACTAGCATCATATGCCGCTAAGCCTCTGGAGTATAGAAGCGTCCTTTACTTTTGCAACTACTTTACTTGATCGGCAGCCATGGTAGTGTAGCGGCTAGCAGCTTGCCTGTCGATCCGGAAGTCTCAGGATCGAATTCGTACCGAGTCATAGGTTTTAAAACAAATGACCCAGTCTAAAATTGGAAGTATCAGGTAAAGTCCTGGGAAGTAAAGGTGGTCGGTACGATGTGTTGACGAATCACCCACATCTCCTGCTGGTTAGTCTATGAAAATATTAGTCTAGCGCACAATTCCAACGGCCCACTGACGTAAGAAGAGTTACTTGGTTATTACTTGACTTGGTTTACTGTGTCGGTGTCTGTGGCTTAGGCGTTGAGAAGGCGCTTGGTAACTGTCAGGTGCCCGGGTTGCATCCCAACCGCATGCGATTTAGCAGCAGATCGCCTTGCGTTGGTTTCGACGCTGGTATCGAAAACCGACCGTTCATACACAGCGATGTCCTGGTAAACTACAGTGTGTAAAACTGTCTCGTAAAATGACAAAAAGCCTAGGAAAATGACAAAACAGACACACACACACACACACACACACAAACAAACAAAAGCTCGGGTAGCTTCAACGTCGTGTAATGGAGACAGGCAACTAACCTTTTTTGTGTGACTGACTGTATACCAACCAACTCACCATACGCTGGTTTATTACTCCAGGCATCCCTGCTTGTCTGAACAGAATATGCTAATATGCGAGCAACCGAGTCAATTATTTACTTTATGCACAACTAGCTGAATATACTTCTGAAATGGCATCTGCTCACAGCCGAATAAATTTAACTCGAACGATAGTGATGATGCAACAACGGAAAGCCAGCACTTCACACCAAAGCAGGACTGGAAGTATTTCCCTCCCCGGGGTCGCAGACGAAGCCAGGACATCAACACAAAGACAAGTCTGCTCCCCAACACAGAAGTCTTCGTTTATGAATGAAGGGGATTTTCCATTCTGAAGGAGATCTACCTGTGGCAGCAATTGAAACTAAGAAAACCGCACGGCTTCATGGCACAGCAGAAGGAAAGAAAGAAAAAAAGAAGGGGGAAAAATCCAATTCACTTCGTCAAAACTTTAAATTCGGCATCAGGGTGGGGGGCGCTACTGGTGACCGTATTTATGTACGCTGCGCAGACGTGATAGTAGAGTGTTTACGTCGTTACCTTGGATACATAAGCTTAAGGAAACATGCGTTAACATCAAAGTAAAACCCCCCCCCCCCCCCCCCATCCCCCTTTTCCTCGTTTACTTCAAACGAAAAGTCCAACACAGATGCCAGGGGTGATGCGGTATTTCCTACTGCCCGGCCCCGCTCCATTGCTCTGCTCTCCAGTCCATATATACAGTCTCACACACATGACGCCTGATGGGGTGGGGAAATTTCAAACATCTGCAGGTCCAGGCACGGAAAGATAAAAGGTAGCACCGCTGCTGTGTGTGTGAGAGAGACTTCAACGGACTTTCGGTTTCACAGATTTATTTCAGATTTTCTAGATCGGAGGTTCTCAAACTAGGTGCCGCGGTACCCTGGGATGTCGCGAGCGTATGCCAGGGGTGCCGCGGCAATAATCAAATATTTTTCAAAAATCTGCTTGAGATAAGCGAAGATAGAAGTTTAAAACAGAAATACCGTGAAGGAAGACAACAAAAGTTCTGGATGCAAGTTTATTCTCAATGCTACTGACAAGGCCGCAGTGTATTCTCAACGTACGCTTATATTAAAAACAGCTCCAGGGGCAACATTCAAGTGATTTGAGGGTAGAATTAACTAACATTTCCATAAACATGAAAGAAAAAATGAAAAATTGTTCCGAACATTTTCATTCATCGCATTAGAAACAACTGAACATAAAATTTTCCCTTTTTTTTAAATTTCTTTTCTTAAGTACTCAAACCGCTTTAAGGGTGGATGTGCCGGGAAAAGTTTTGTTGCCCGACTTGGGGGCCGCCGCGGAAAAAGGGTGGATGTGCCGGGGAAAATTTTGTTGCCCGACTTGGGGGCCGCGGCGGGAAAAAAAAAGTATCAGAAACACTGCAGATAGTTGCTCGAGAAAATTACTTTGTATGTTGAGTGTGGTCGGCTCTGTGGCTAAGTCGATGCGAACGTTTCGTAATGATGGGATGCCGGGTTCGATCCCAGCCGCAGGCCATGCGCCTTGCGTAGGTTTCGACAGTGGTATCAAGAAAGCCGACCGTCCAGTAAGCAATGGCAAACTACTTTAACGGACATTCGGTTTCACAGATTTATTTCAGTTTCCTTAGTTGCACCAGAAAAGAATGTCTTACTCTTTATGTTCTGTGTGTGTGTGCGTGGATGTGTGGGGAAACTTGCGTTTCACACATTAATTGACTGGGGTGGGGAAGCGCAGTGACGGAACTATAAATATTTAAGTCGAGAGAAGATTGACGTCATTGCACCGGGTTTCTCCCATATAGCTGGATCTCACTCTGCAGGCTTGCTGCCTGCAGGCCCAGAGCGCGAACTCCGTAGCTCAAGCGACGATTCCCGGGGGTCCCCGCAAATACAGCACTTGTGTTGTCATGCGTTCGTAAAACGAACTCCACGTCCTTAACAGCATGAGGTAAACTAATTATCTATTGGTAAATGGGGGGGGGGGGGTTTAACTGGGCAAAAATGGTAATTAGCATTCGTTTAACTGGGCAAAAATGACTTATTTTTTTTTAAATACTCCCCAAAAAAAATATAAACAAGATAATACCTGCACTATACATAATAAGGTAAAGCAAATCATTTGGCCCCTTCGCAGATTTTCTGTCTATATCTTTATCGTTGTGTCCAATTCTCGATCTTATTCCTAGAGTTTTTATGGGGAGTACTCAGGGGACAGCCAGGAATACACCGAAAAAAATGGGACTGTCAGAGTGGAAAAGGAACCTTTCATTAGCCCAGCGTAGTGACATCACGTCTAGCTGATGACATCAGCACCACCACCCATAAGCCGGAGAAAGCCTTGGACAAACAAAGAGAGATAAAAACATACAGTCTTACCCTTTAAGACAGTAAAAAAAAAAAAAACTTTTTTCACGTATTTTCTTTTTAACCACATCCTTTGCATTCTTTGAAACTCCACAATAATAAACCAGACAAAGAAGAAGAAGCAGAAGAAATTTAAGGGTTTTTGAGTGATATTTACAGATATCCCGGGGTTGAATCTCTAGATCACCGAGAAAACTGGCAGGTGTAAAGTCTTCATCTTCTTCTTTGATGATATCGGGTCACGAAAAGACTAATTTTTCCAGTCTGAAAATTTCCTAAATCAAGTAATCATTAAATTAAAAATGCCGCAAACAATTAAATGATTCCCTTCCCTTTGACCAAGTAACGTGGATGTAATTAAAAAAAAATATATATATATATATATAACATCACAGCGAATCCTCAGTTTTTAAATATATAATTAACTATATGACTATACATCGAATACACAATTTTTGTTCCAATGAATATATCTTTTAAAAAAAATACAATTTATAAATACAATCATACCCACCATGTCTAAACTCTGCACAGTTGTAGCCAGTATCAAAGCTGTCATTACAGGTGCTGAGCACCGCCCAAAAACCCATAAAAGCCTGAAAAATGGCTTTTTTAGGCAAGAGGGTTAGATTAGCAAAGTAAATAAGGTGAATGAAAACAATATGTAAACATCTTACCTTCAATGCCTTTGTTGTCAGGCTGGGTAGACACTGTCCTGCATGAGGCCAGTACATTGGGATCATGAACATAGGCCTGCGGAGACTTCCAGTTCCTCAATGTCTGGGACAAAGAACCAAAGCGGAAATTCTCAAAGTTCCTGACGTGAAACCTCTGCTGGTCTGTGCTGACAACAGGGTCGGTGAAGTAATCTTCTTGAGTAGGCCACTTCTGGAATGCTGAATGGCGGAAATAGATTTTAGGTCTTTTGTCTGTTGAGCTACCTTTCGGTCCAGATTCGCCCACTTCTTCTTTTGACAAGGACTTGCGCATTTTGTGAATGTTTCGTAACACAATTCTCAGCAGACTCAGCAAGGAAAACCCGACATCCCTCTCCTCCAGAAATAAATCTCTACTTGCACGTGACATGGAAAATATATGTGAGAAGTGTCGTATCTCATCACGAATAATCTTCAGAAACACAAATTCCTCGAAGCGACAACATTTGAGAACATTCATTGGAGACCTTCTCACAAAACACCCTTTGTGCTCTAAGTTGCGTTCCCTGTCTATTAAAACAAAGTGTTTAAATTCATCATAAGTTCTTAACAAATACTGAAAATCTAGCCTTGGTGAAATATGTGGAATCAGTTTGGTAAACAGAGCATCCAAACAGCACCAGTTGTTCCAGGAGAGATGGCTGTCGGAACCTCCACACTCAATACCAGGTCCTGGGACAGTTAACAGTTTTTTAGGAGGCCTGTGTTTTCTCATATGCGAGGTATATGCTAGTTCACCATGGAAGGCTCGGCAGAGTGATCCAGCAGCTATGAAATCAATACAGTTGTTTAACTGAGGGCATATACTGGTGCTGACTGTTCTTGCATACGTTTCAACTGCAACCATTTCATCTTCGGAATCAGATTCTTCAGCAGTATAACAGTGACTGCACTTCAGATGTGATCTGCTCAGCTGCACAAACTCATCCAGAACTTCAGTGGGTGAATTTGGTAAGTTCATCACGGACTGCCCGTTATCAAAGACACAGAAGACTTCATCAACTTCGGAGAAGGAATCATCAGAGTGAAATAAATGACCCACGTCAAATTCTTGTGCTGACAACTGTTTACCGCCAGTAAACAAATGTGAACCATCTCTTTTCTTAATGACAGGCTCATGTTTGAACAGGACATTTGGGAAGTCGTGAAGACTTCTATCCTTAGTTCTCTCAATATTAATTCTCCCAAAATCCTGATGACCATCTGAATGATCAAAATAACCTGCTGCAGGTTTCTCAGGCTCCCAATCATCAATTGCCTCAGTTTTTAGCAGCTGAAGCCGGATATCTTGAAAAGTAGGCAAATCTTGTACACATCTGAGCCGCCTCTCAATCTTCAGCTGCATCCTGTTAACCTCCTCTTGCAGTTTCCTCACTCTGTACTGATTTCGTTGTAGCCGCGATGAACTAAACAGCATTTCAAGGACAAAATTGTAGAATGCCTTCAGTTTTGCATCCACAGCTTGCCTCTCCTCACCCAAAGATGAAAAATATCGTCCCCACCTAAACACCCCCTGTGCTAAGTAAGCTGTGTCCAGGCTTGATGATTTCTTGAAAGAACCACTGATGACATTCTCCAAAAGCCTAGGATTTGCATACACAATTGGTTTTGCCACTCTGGAAATACACTGATTCCTCCTGACGTGAAACGTTACCTTCTTGTTTATATCTAACCCGAACTCATTTTCTAAATCTGAATCAACATACACAGTTTCCTGGATGCTGGGATCAGAGTTTTCAAAATATTTATCATCACATTCTTCTTCAGACTTCTTCAAGCTGTCAACTTTCACAGCCTTGTCTGATTTTATGTGTTGTGAAATATTTTCTTCAATGCTATCTCGAAAGTCCATGTCAGAAAACATTGGAGATGTTTCATCCCAGGTTGGGGAGTCCTTTGACAAGACCTTGCTACAATTCTTCTCAACTTCCAATCTAGATTCTCCATTTCCATTCATGCAATACTTTGGCTTTACTTTAGTGTTTTCCAAACAACCATTAGATGAGGAAGTGGCGGGTCCTAACATTAAAGGCCTGACTTTTGGTCTTGCACCTTGTAAATTATACAAAACATCCTTAGCAACATTTTCATTTCCAGTCTTGTTTTCTTTCTTTCCGGTGGCTATATCCACACTATTTACCTCCATTTTCGTTGTAAATGCTTCTTTCTTACATTCATCTCGCTTCTGATTTGAACTGCTTTCATTGTTACCTAAAAATGTGATCTCTGGACCTTCTTTGATGTGATAAATATCGGGTGAAACAAACCTTGCACAACGTTCACTTCTTAAATCTGTGTGACTTTGAATACCAAATTCTCTACTGCTCAAAGTTCCAGCGTCCTCAGCATTTGTTATACCAGGTCCTTCTTTCGCAGAAAAGTCTGACATGTTCCTTAGTTCTTGTGAAGCTGGCTTCTCAGCAATTACACTTGCTATAGAATGAGAACCACACGAAGTCTCACACTGTTGACATGCCTCATCTATAATACTTTTGACCAAATCATGACAAAATCTAGCAATGCTCGAGCTGTCTGCAAGCTCAACTTGTGATGGCACACAAACTGTATCCTGTGTCTGTTTATTTATTACCTCCATTTTAGGAGATTGACAAGCCAAACTATTTTCTTCATTTGCCAGTTGTACTTTACTGACAGAAGAATACTCAGACTTACTGCCTTCCTTACCCTTGTCTAAAAATCTGTTTGACTTTATTGCTTGTGGGGATGTCTTCCTTAGGTACTTCTCTAAACTATTTGTCTCCTTCTTTCTAAGAAAATCAGCTCCATTACTTCTAGAAAAGAAATCATGACGCTCATAAACTTGATTCATCAGCGAATCTTTCACAGATTTAATTATCAGGTTTTCCCTGCTGTGATTTAAACTGGTCACTGGGCTTCTCTCAATTTCTCTGCTGTGACTAAACTCCCCTGGCTCTGCCCCTCTGCTGCCCTGAGAGGACCATGAATGACGAGCACTGGCAGTGCCACTTTTAGGATGCACTTCGTCTTTCTGGTAGTTTCTCAAAGGCAGCGGTGGTGCCAGCAAAGCACTCAGTTTCTCAACCAGCTCTTCTTCTGCAGGGGTTTTGATAACGGGAGGCTCCGAATGGGTGTTGGCACGTCGGGTGAGTGTGGAAGCACTGGTAACTGAACGGGACACTTGTTTCCTCAAGATGATATTAGGGTTGTCATAAAGGCACTCTTCTTGTGGGGAGGATTGGTGGTGTGACGGAGCATCGTTTGGAAGGGAGGAATCGACAGAGGGAGCCAGGGGAGCCACGGAAGAAGGTGATAAAGATGCAGAAGTTCTTCCTGTCAGACGTGGGGAAGACATAGAAGCTGGTCTAGATTCCTGCAGGAAAGAGGAAACTGTGCTAGTTGTAAAGTGCCAGATTTATTAACACTTTTAATCACAAGCAACAAATTATGTGTAAACAAGGTGTACTGAAATTTGTATTATACATCTTGTAATTAAAAAAACAAACTAATTTGGTTAGTGCTTGTAAAATAAATGTGGCGATTGCAGTGCTGCTTCAACACTTTGCTCTCCTTACCTACAGCAATACCATCATCTTGACTGTCTGTTTCTTTACTTGGTTCTCCCACACATTGTACTACCATCATCATACTTCTTTGTCTCTATTCTTTGTTCTCCCACCTATAGCCCTGCTATCATCTTACTTGTCTGTCTCTATTCTTTGCTTTCCCACCTATATAACTATCATCTTACTTGTCTGTCTCTATTCTTTGCTTTCCCACCTATAGCACTATCATCATCTTACTTGTCTGTCTCTATTCTTTGCTCTCCCACCTATAGCACTACCATCATCTTACTTGTCTGTCTCTATACTTTTTTCTCCCACCTATAGCACTACCATCATCTTACTTGTCTGTCTCTATTCTTTGTTCTCCCACCTATAGAACTACCATTATCTTACTTGTCTGTCTCTATACTTTGTTCTCCCACCTATAGAACTACCATTATCTTACTTGTCTGTCTCTATTCTTTGCTCTCCCACCTATAGCACTACCATTATCTTACTTGTCTGTCTCTATACTTTGTTCTCCCACCTATAGCACTACCATTATCTTACTTGTCTGTCTCTATACTTTGTTCTCCCACCTATAGAACTACCATTATCTTACTTGTCTGTCTCTATACTTTGCTCTCCCACCTATAGCACTACCATTATCTTACTTGTCTGTCTCTATACTTTGCTCTCCCACCTGAGTACCAGCTAAAGGCCTGGTCTTAACCACATCAAAGGCTAATAGGTCTAAACAAAATATTGAGTCTAGCTGCAGATGCCCGATGCGCCTTAACAACCAGTCCCCAAATTATTAACTAATGCTGTCCGAAAAACACCCCCACCCATCCACAGAGAGAGAGAGAGAGAGAGAGAGAGAGAGAGAGAGAGAGAGAGAGAGAGAGAGAGAGAGAGAGCAAACCAAAGATACTCACCTGAGAGCTAGCAGCAGACGATGTCCTGAGAAACTTATCACTGTCAGAACTGGCACCCAGGAGGGGAGACAACCTGCTGGATGATGCCTCGCTACCATCGTGAGAATGTGGAGATCTCACTCCAGAGTTATCCAACATGGTCTTCTCAACAGGTGATGGTTGGTGGTAGGCATTATTCATACAGGAGATGGGAGTCTCATTAAAACATCTGCTCCCAGAACAAGCAGACATGTTAGAACTTACACATCGTTGTTTGACATCCTCCAGACTTTCATAGTCCGGGTCTAAAACACCGGGCCCAACAGATGAAACGTTGAGGTTTGGATCTGACATCACTGCGTCAAAGTAAGCAGACTGCATGTTTCCTTGTGACCTGAATTCATTCTTTTTCTGCTTAACTTCATCTAAACTCTCATAGTCAGGCTCAATCTGGCTTCTCACGCGTGAACAAGTTTGCTTGGGAAGACTCCTAGTATCCAACGATGGGTGGGAAACTGCCGAAGGTTTTTTCCTACTGGTGTCAATCTTTGCATATGGATATTCATCAATGTCCACTGCAATTTTATTACATTGTTCAGTATCAAGTTTGTTATTATTAGCTGTAGCACCATAAGACAACTCGATACTATTCTGGTTTTTGACAACTTGTGAGTTTCTGGTGTTCCTAGCTATTTGCTCTTTAACTGAACTTATAGTAGCATATGGATCTTCATCCATCTCACTTGTTATTTCAGACATATCTTCATCTACATTCTCTGCATTGGAAAATATAACTTCTGATTCTCCATTTTCAGTTTTGCAAATAACACTCACTCTCTTGTCTTTTCGAATGAGAATTACCTCCTCTTTGTCTGATTTTGATTTTCGTTGGGTTTTCACCGAGTTTGATTTTCCCACAGAGATTTTGGGGTCAACATCTAAGCTGAGATTATCATCATCATCATGAATTTGTGTTTCTTCACTCTTTCTTCTAAGCCACCTTGGTTTGGAGGGAGAGTTTTCTGTATAGGATTTCAAGTCATACTTTCCTTTACTCCCAAAACGAAACCTTCGCCTGAGTCTTGAGAACAGACCTTCACTGTGAGACTCGTGAAGTGCTAGAGACTTGGGATCACAAGACAATGGAAGAGTAGCTGATCGGACACTAACAGGAGAGGCAGTTACTGGTGACGGTACAGCAGCTGGTGCCTTTGAAGCAGCCTTTCTACTGAACTTCCTTTTCAGCTTAGAAACTTTTGTCTCATTCTCTTTATCAGCCATGGCTGACAGATATGTCAGGTTGTTACCGTTAGTACTTAGTTAACTCTCTTCATTCTGAGACTAATGTAATATACACAGATCAGTTTGCTGAATATTTTTATTTCTGTATTTCCAAAACACTGTCATTTTTCTTCTGGCAGGGTCTATTACAGTTAAGCGTCACAAAGATTTCAAAGCATCTGAAACATGTAGAGAAAAAAACAAACCTTTTTAATACAACAGATGAGTGATATTTCAAATACCAAAGTATAACAAGTAAGGCCTTGAGTAATGGTCCCACTGCCATGCCGCAGGCGAGCTGGGCATATGGTAGTAATGTAAGTAAAGCACAGGCAAGCTGGTCATATGGTAGTAATGTAAGTAAAGTGCAGGCAAGCTGGGCATATGGTAGTAATGTAAGTAAAGCACAGGCAAGCTGGGCATATGGTAGTAATGTAAGTAAAGCACAGGCAAGCTGGGCATATGGTAGTAATGTAAGTAAAGCACAGGCAAGCTGGGCATATGGTAGTAATGTAAGTAAAGCTGGGCATATGGTAGTAATGTAAGTAAAGCACAGGCAAGCTGGGCATATGGTAGTAATGTAAGTAAAGTGCAGGCAAGCTGGGCATATGGTAGTAATGTAAGTAAAGCACAGGCAAGCTGGGCATATGGTAGTAATGTAAGTAAAGTGTGGGCATATGGTAAATGTAAGTAAAGTAGCAGGCAAGCTGGGCATATGGTAGTAATGTAAGTAAAGTGCAGGCAAGCTGGGCATATGGTAGTAATGTAAGTAAAGCACAGGCAAGCTGGGCATATGGTAGTAATGTAAGTAAAGTATGTAAGTAAAGTGCAGGCGAGCTGCAAGGTGGGCATAAAGTGCAGGCAAGCTGGTATGTAAATGTAAGTAAAGCGCAGGCAAGCTGGCATATGGTAGTAATGGTAAAGCGCTGGGCATATAGTAATGTAAGTAAAGCACAGGCGAGCTGGCCCATCAGGCGAGCTGGGCATATGGTAGTAATGTAAGTAAAGCGCAGGCAAGCTGGGCATATGGTAGTAATGTAAGTAAAGCGCAGGCGAGCTGGGAATATGGTAGTAATGTAAGTAAAGCGCAGGCAAGCTATATGAGTACAAGCGCAGGCGAGCTGGGCATATGGTAGTAATGTAAGTAAAGCGCAGGCGAGCTGGGCATATGGTAGTAATGTAGGTAAAAGACTCTTTATACCAATGGCCCATCAGGCATACAATTTTAGATTTTATAGACAAACAGGCACTCTGTGGGTAATGTGGTAAACTTCACTTCCCTTGAATATATGATGCTTCTTCTTTCATGCCATGTGACATTAGTAGTCATGTCTATCCACAACCTTCTGTCTCGCCTACTTTCAATCAGTTCCCACACAGATGATCTTCCATACCATAATGTCAAACTGTCCAGCTTCTTCTCTCTCAGTCTTCTTCTGATGTGGGCGATCTGTTCTCTTCATGAGCCAGTTTCTTTCAAGATGTTTTCATTACGCTTTTTATCTGTGCAGGGTATTCTCATCATTCGTCATATGCTGCTAACTGCAGAAATTTGATCATGTGATATCATGCAGTTTGTACTGAAAGTACCCCACCTTCAGCAATGGAGAATGTCGCCCAGCTTCTGAGTTGAGTGCATGGTGTGATACTGTGAGCTACGTGTGTTTTTCGTTGGCACAGGAGCGGAGCAACTATGGGGTGACCCATTTGCTATGAAGCTGAAACTAGGATTACCAGATTACCAGGATTACCAGAATGGAGAATGTCATGATGATAGGAAATATGAGCTGTAGAACAGGCTATGAGTTGTAGAACAGGCAGAAGCAGAATAAGATAGGCTGGGTGGTTTGAGATAGACTATCTTCAATAAAACCAATACAGAACACAAATAACTGAGATCGGTAGAGACACATGATAGAGATGTCTAAAAAAAAGGATCAAAAACAAACATTTACAATAAACAGACGACATTGTGGTAAATAGTCTTCAAAATTCTCTATTTGTTTATTGTAAGTGGTTTTGTAAAGCTGACATATACTTTATGTTCTTCTTACCATTTTCTATCTTTTCTCTTGCCTATCTTTTGCAATCTTAGACTTTTATATCTTTATTGCAATCATTTCATTTTGGTATGAAGAGATGACATTATTTTCAGATCCCTAATTTTCTACACATTTACACCTTGATTAGCACACTGTCTTCTTAAGTTGGAGGCGGATATTCTACCTCTGGGACATCCTTATTTCAGGCCAATAATTTTTTTTAAATATTATGTAAAATTATTTTTGGTTCTTCTTTATCTTAGCGTTTACCGGCTGTAAACTCGTGCAGAAGATTTTGGCTGTTCATCCACCTCTGGACTGTAGTCCTCTTTCAGAACTTGAGTTTTGCATGCACATCTAGTCTCACAGATCTAACATGTGTATGCAGACCATTGCCTCCTCGCCTCTCAGACAGATGCACTCTAACTTCAAAGGAAACATTCCTAATTAGCTGCCTTCTAGGACATGCTTGTTAGGAGGGCAGTGGCTCTATTCTTTTTCCCCCAAGATGGGACCTGGAAACCACACGGAAAATTTTCAGTTGTCTTTGTCACTGTTCAAACTTCTTGGCAATGATTCAGCCAATTATAGCTCCATTCGTGTACCTCCACTAGATTCTCATCATTGTCCCTGTCAAAATGGAAACAGGCAGAAGTGGCGATAAACCAGCAAATGGACAAGAATTAAATGCATAAGGCAGTCACCAGAGTATCAACCACTAAAACTGATATTCGTCTTAAAAGGAAGCAACAATTAAATTCTTAGTAGTAACTATGCAAAAGTATTAAAGGTCTATGGTTAAGCACCAGCAAGGAGATCAAAAATATAATTTTTAGAACATGCATCTTCCCTGTAGCAACATACGGATGTGAGCCATGGACTATTTCCCAGACCTTAAGAAAGAGAATAGGGGCTTTTAAGCTGAAATGCTATAGAAAGATTCTCAGAATATCTTGGACAAAGAAGAGGAGAAATACTGACATCTTGAAAGATCTGAACATCAAGACTAATAAACAGCATCCTGTCTCGGAAGCTGAAACATTTTGGTCATATCAAGCGCCGCAACAGATTGGGAAAAAAAAATAGCAGAAGGCATGGTACCAGGAAGGAGGGGCAGGGGCCGACCAACATGAAGATGGTCACAGAATATATGTGACTCCTTGAGTATGAAAGTACATAAGACGGGAGAGCTGGTGAGAGACCGAGTTTCTTTCAGGCAGAACGTGATGAGAGTGACTTTCTGCAAAGGACCTGCTACATGGTGATGATGAACTATGCAAAACAGTATGTTTAGCAAGCCACTTTCACAATTAGCCTGCTGTACAACATGTACTTCTGATAAGTCAAAATTAAGCAGCTGAATGTCTTTTGTTCATACATTATCTCTCACCGTGCTTCTGTTTCAAGGGGAAATCCTGGACTAAGAGAACACTCTACAGACCTGCAAGTGCTAAGATAACAAGCACATGAGAAATAAACCTGATAAAAACACAGGATATGGCCTTCTTGATTGTAAAAATGGGGAGGGCTGGGGTTTCTTATATTAGCGGGAAATATGGCTGTCTGCATCAGGAAGTGCTGTGTTATCTGTTCTATATCATCATCATCACATGCCATGTTGATAGGCACAGGTGGTCATGTTTTCCAAACTCAAATTTTCACCAGAATTATGAATTAGGTCTGTACTCTTGTCAAACCTCATCTATGTGGCCAGGCCATCCAGGCATACATCTGTATGCCTTTGCTTTGCTCTTTTTTTCTGTCATTCTTGTGAGTAGTCATCACCAAGTTCTCAACTCCATTCCTTTACATAAAAATAAGTTAGTTGTGTATCTTTTACAAGACGTTGTAGAACCAACCGTAGCATCCCCATTGTCTTTTTGTGATATTAGTAGACAGTTTTACGTCCAGTAATCTGCCACTGCTTGCTAAATGGTCAGCTCTTGATACCATTATTAAAATAAATGCAGATCGGTTTGCTGTCAGATCACCAGCAGCTGGAATCAAACAGCGTGCCTTGGAATTACAAACCACGTCCACAACGCCAAGGCCACAGGACACTGCAGAACCAACCCCAGCATTCCCATTGTCTATTTGTGATTTTACTAGGCAATCTTATGTCCAGTGATTTGCTACTGCTTGTTGAATGGTTAGCTCTTGATACCATTATCAAAATCAATGCAATGTGGTATGCTGTCAGATCACCAGCAGCTGGAATCCAACAGGGTACCATGGAATTACAAACCATGTGCACAACGTCAAGGCCACAAATGCCAAATTTTCTCATTTGTCCACAACATATCCAAAGCTCTAGATGCCCCAGGGCTAGGACAGCCATTAAATCAAGCCAATCCAGTGACAGAGTCTGCAAGTCTCTTGAAAACTGCTTTATTTACACTTTGTTAACTTTGACACCCTAAGGACTAAACTAACAACACAGGTTCATCTAAAATTCTTGCGTTACGGCCCTTGGCATCCTACAGGTATTTATTCTCCGGTTCAGTGTTTTTTTCTTTCATGGCACTGGCAAGACATTCATGTGGCTGCATCTGGATACGTGAGTTAAGTGATTTTGTGTATTCATGTGGTTTTGTTTGATTTATGTATGTGCTGACAAAGGCTCTATAGCCGCAAAGTTCATGTTTTGCACGTGTTTGTTATATTGTGAAGCTCGGTGATAAACTTTTTGTTCGGTTTTATATCTTTTCACAAGATATTCACAAGGGAAAGGCCATAAACAGCAAATCTTCTCATATGTCTTCAAGATATCCACAAGGCCACAAACAACAAATCTTCTCATATGTCTACAAGATATCCACAACTCCTAAGCAATAAACGGCAAACCTTCTCATATATCTACAAGACATCGACAACGCCAAGGCCATAAATGGCAAATCTTCTCATATGTACACAAAATATCCAAAACTCCAAGGCCACAAATGCCAAATCTTCTCATAT